GGAGTCCAGCGACATAGCCATTATGCTAACTGCTGGTCCCATCTATTTCAACTTTTTAAATATGGTTGTAGGCAAGGACATTAAAGTTGCTTCTAGTTTTCATCATTGTAAACAGTACTTAACTGAATAGTTTAATAGTTTTGTTCTTTTTCTCTGGAGTTGTTTTGTTTTTTATTTTTTTTATTGCCAGACTATATATACTTACCAGAGACAGAGAAAGAGAGGAAGAGAGAAGCACCCCTCCAATGGGATATGGCCGTATTGTAACCCCTTCTCCATTTCTCCATCCTTTCAAGATTTGGGGCACGTATGAACACAGACCCGGTGTATTTTTCAGGATGGTGTGTCTGAAATTCACACTGCATGATGGGGCATGTGGGATCTGACTCTCTTAACAACAAGGCCGTGGGGCTCATCCTCTGGAGTTGTGATAAGATGAATTTTGAGGACTGAGATTTTGGGCCAAAAAGTGTATGAATGGATTAGTTCTGTAAAGAAATTGCACTTATTAATTGGATTTCACAATGTAGCTAATAGTTTTTATATAGTTGCTTAACTCTTCTAGATTTTGTTTTTAAAACCACTAAAAATTTTCCTATTTATAATGATAGCATAAATTATTTTAGCAAAGAATATGCAACTGGCACTGTGAAAGGAGATTAGTGAGAAATTGTTGCCCTAACTTTAATCCCTTGTTCATTTATTAAAAAGCAGTAATTTCGGGACCAGCAGTTAGTATAATGGCTATGTTGCTGGACTCCCATGTAGTCGACATGGTTTGAGTCCCGGACCCAGCGGCTTTAACTCACGCTGGGCGCGTGTGTGTGCGTGCCCAAAATCCCAAGAGGAAAATGGAGAAGGGATTGCAGTGTGGCCATCCCCTCTGGGGGATGATTTCTCTCTTTCTCCCTCTGTCTGTCTTTCTGGTGAGCGCACATGCCCTATAGCAAAAACCTCCCCCCCCCCCAAAAAAAAAGGCAGTAATTTCTTGTTGGGAATACCATTTAGAGGGTGGGCAGTGAGGAGGCTGAATGAGTATGCCAACAATTTGATAATCTAGTGGGTGGGCAGTGAGGAGGCTGAATGAGTGAGTATGCCAACAATTTGATAATCTAGTTTTGAATGCCAATCAAGGACCTAAATCTGCATCTTTTAGGATTTCTTGTTTCAGGATTACATTGCTTGGGAAGAAGCAGTATCTGTATTTTTGAGATTTAAGACCATATGACAACTAGAGTAACCACGTTCATGAATTGAGAAGAGATTAAGTAGAAACGAAAGAATGTAGTTAAGAAAACAGTTGTGGTGAAGTTAGTCATTATGAATGATTGTGCCATTTATAAGGCTAAGAAAAGCAGTAGATTAAAGCATGTTTTTATTTAATTTGAACTTTTCTGCATGCCAACACAGAAAGGTTGTGAGGCACATGCTAAAAGAATAAGCCCTGTCTCTGTTTTAGGACTTGCATTGTCTTTATAATATCTGTTGTGCTTCAGTGATATTAAATACTGTAGATGTGGTACACTTATAAATAGTTAGGAATACAATTTTCTTTAGGTATGCTTTGTTATTTCTTTTATATGTAATAGATTTTAGTATTACCATAATTTTCATGGAGTACTTGAATGACATTTTAATTAAAAGCATGCAGAGAAAACTTCTTAATAGTTAAAGTTTACAAATGTATTAATGTTATTCCTGGTCTGTACTGCCTCTTTCAGTGGGTAGTAGTGATAAAATACGAATGTCTGATAGGTGAAGTAGGTTAAGGATATAGTTCCTTTAACTATTATTTTAAAATCTTTTTCTGAGCACTAGGGGGCACTCTTGATTTATGAATTCATGTCATACTTAATCTGTGGATAGACTATGGAGTGAGATGAACTTATTTTAAAACATTTCATTGCAAAACAAGTATTAACCTTCAGAAAGAATCGGCACAATCAAGCTGGTTTTGCTTGGCAATATAAATGTAAGGTGATCCTTGATAGTACTGTATGGATAATGAAGCTTATAGAATGAGAAATTGTAGATTGGAACACATTAAAATATTTTTGTGTTTTATTCATTTTCACATTGATTTTCTAGGTTCTTAATGGTTATTAAACCATTATTTTCATAGGTTCTTAATGGTTATTAAACCATTATTTCTGATATAGTTCTTTAAAATGGTAGCATGATGGTTTATTCTTAGTAGGTGCTTTCTTTCTGGAGAAACAGATACACTGAAGATGTGACTGAAGGCTGCTATCATTAGTGATAATTTTCCAGCATTTGAAAACCAGGAGCATGTTTTGTTTGCTACTTACAGGAAACAGATTTTAGGCATTTTCATTCTTTATGTTTGCGATTAGGATTTTATGATACCTGTGCTTGCTAGGGGTTTATTTTGTTTTACTAGGAGTTGCCACTGAATTTAATACATTAGACTAAATACACAGTAACAAAATCTGCATCATCACAATAGTACCCTTATCATGTGCCAGCATTGTTTTAGTGCTTTGTGTATGTTCTCTTATTTCTCCTCACTACAACTCTGTAAAGTGGGTGCTTCTTCTTATTCCAGTTTAATACATGAGTAAACTAAGCTCAGTAAAACTAACATCACTGGGTTCAGATTTAGGCAGTTTTATTTCATATTCCATGCTGTTAAATCACTACTCTGTATTGCTCTCCAGAGAAAGGAAACTTAGCATTGAAGGAATTATTATTGACAATTTGCACTGTTTTTAAAGTGAATATATCTAGACACTTTATCCTTTCTCTTAGGAAAAATAGCATAGCAGTGAGAAATGGACTTTGAAGTTCATTTACCCCTTCACTTATAGAGAGGAAGGACTTCTGTCCTGAAGAAGTAAAGCTGTTTACTCAGTGCTGTGTGTCAAGTTATTTGTGAAAAGATGTTAGAATCTGGAGTAAATAGCTGATTTGTAGTAAAGTGGAAAGAAATTTGATGGCGTGGAAAGGATTTTTGGCTAGATTTTTAGGTGGCTTGAGTCTTGTTCTTGACTCCTCATTTACCAGCCTGTGTCCTCAGAGGCTCTGTTTCTTGGGGTTACATGGATATAATAATATCATCCATAATTAGTGTTACTGGTAATTGTGAAAATCAGTGTGATCATGTATTGAGGATATTAATTAAACTCAGAAGCACTATACAATTAAACATGCCATATATTGTATTTTATTTTTAAGGGTTATTTTATTTAACTTTATTTATTTATTTATCTAAATAAATAAATTTGACTAGAGAGGGACAGAGTTAGAGGGAAAGGGAAAGTGAGAAAGCAAGTCACCAGGTCTGGGACTTAAACCGCAATCGGCCATGTAGGAGTCTAATGCCTTTAACCACCATGCCAGCTGCTGGCCCTGTGGTATTTTATTTTTATTTTTTCCCATTTTATGTACCTTTAATCACTGTATATCTTTACAGCATACAAAATGAATCTTCCCACCATGAATATACTGCCTATTAGTCCAGTTAGAGATGCTGCCATAATATCATCATTAACACATTTTTCCTCTTTCATATCTGCTAAATGTTTTTCTGATTTTCTCCCCCTTGGTTTCCTTCCTCCCGCCCCCACCACCTACCCTGCTGCCACACTGTCTCTAGTATCCATAGTTGCTCTCTGTGCCTTTATATCTTCTAGTTTCTGTTGTAGAGTGCAGACATTTGGTATATATTAAGTGGGGACATACAATGTTTCTTTTTCATAGTCTGGCATGCTTAACTCAGTATTAAACCTTATGTGTTTGTACACTTTCTATCAAATGCCAGAATCTCATTGTTTTTATGGCTGTGTAGTATTCCATAATGTGTGTATGTATGTGTCTCACTTTTTCAATTCATTCATCTGTCATTTGGGCTGATTCCTTGTCTTAGCAATTGTGAATAATGCTACAGTAAATATGAATGTATAAGTATTTTTTAAAAGAATTATTTAAATTCATTTATTGTTATATTTATTGTTATTTTTTATTTTATTTTGACAGAGAGAGAGAAAGAAAGTGAAACAGTAAGCCACTAGGTCCAGGACTAGAACTGTAGTCAGCAATGTGGGAGTCTAGCACCTTAACCACCACACCACCTACTGGCCCCAGATGTGAAAGTATTTTTTCCAACCAAGTATATTTCTATCCTGTAAGTTGGTACCCAGGAGTGGAGTCGTTGGATCTTATGGTGGTTCTAGGTGGTTCTATTTGAGGTTGGTTTTTATTATTTGTTTGTTTGTTTTAGAGATTTTTTCTTATTGGGCGCATGTGCTCGCCAGAAAGACAGAGAAAGACAGAAAGATAGAAAGCGAGAAATCACCCCCCAGAGGGGTTGGCCACACTGTAATCCCTTCTCCTACATTCTCCTCTTGGGATCTTGGGCATGCATACAGATGTGCCCTTGGGCATGCACACAGATGTGCCTGGCCTGAGGTTAAGCCACTAGGTCCAGGACTCGACCCACGATCGACTACATGGGAGTCCGCGACATTGCCATCACCCCAACTGCTGGTCCTCATTAACATTTTTTTTTGGTGGATTCTTTTGGGTTTTCTATGTATATATCATGTCATCTGCAAATGGGGATAATTTCACTTCTTTCCCTGTCTGTATGACTTTTACTTTATTCTTTTGCCTTATTGCATTGACTAGGACTTCCAGTGCTATATTGAAAAGGAGTGGAGAAAGTGGGCAGCCTTGTCTCGTTACAGTTTTTAGTGGAATATTGTGGTATTTTTATGACATATGTCCCATATTTTATTTTTAAGTATTTGTGATATCAAATTAGATCACTTGCATCATTTGAATGCTGCTCAATTGGTGTTTCCTATCATTCAAAAATAATATAACAGAATTGTCCTCACTCTGGATTTAGTGGTTAGCTAAAATAAATAAGTTTTTAGTAAAGTATTTTTGATTTCTTTACATGGTGGTAGGCATGGATTTATTTTCTTAAACTTTCAGGAAGACACACATTTTTCACTTCTGTATTTATTTTTTTACAGGAATAATGTATTTGTGGCCTTGGACATGAAGTAATCAGTCCTCCGCTGTTACCATAAGGTTGGGGACTGATGAGGGAAGCATGGACCTAATGAACGGGCAGACTAGCAATGTTAATATTGCAGCTACTGCTTCTGAGGTAAGCCATCTAAGTTTTGTTACAATTTTTGTCTGTCTGTATTTTTTTAATCTCCCTTCCCTTCCCTTCCCTTCCCTTCCCTTCCCTTCCCTTCCCTTCCCTTCCCTTTCCTTTCCTTCCTTTTTCTTGTTTTCTTTTCTTCCTTCTTCTCTTTCCCCTTTTATTTATTTATTTATTTTTTTTGTAAAACCAGGCCACTTTAATGTTTTTGTACAATTTAATAAATAATCTTTTGATGACTGCTGACATGTAAGACCAGCTATATTCAGAAACATCAGTCATGATGGTTTTCCAGATGGTGTATCATCTTCAAAATTAGAAGGAGTTATTTGTATGCAACTGCTATCAAACCAGTAAAACAGCATTTATACATCCATCATTTTCAGGATTGTTGGTAACTTGGGCATATTTCCCCCAAATAACCTTGCCTCCTTGTGTCACAAGGCCCAGCTCACTCACGTTCACCTCAATGACAGTACCTTTGGTGATCATCCTCTTCCATGCCTTCTTCTTTTTCTTTCCTGTTCGAGTAACTTTTAATTTCTGTTTCTCCCTGGGCTCAAACTTTGGGTAGAGGGACTTCCCATTTTCACATTTTCTCTTTCCAGTTTTGTTTAATAATATTGGAAAGTACTTTAGCTCAGGACTGTCCTTTTCTGTCCAGCAGATAGACAGGTACTTCTCCTTGTGGAGTCTTTTCATCATTCTTCTGTTTGGTGTTCCTCTTTTCATGCATCTTGATAGTCTTTTTCATTTGTATTTTCTCAGCATGGCGCTGTTTATGATAGAGCTTAGCCTTCAGACCAATCATCTTTTTTGCCTTCTTTGAACGTTCATGAGCCTCCCGACTTTCCTTCTTTCTCTTTTTCTCATGGTAATCCAAACGGTATCCATAGCGTTTACGATGTAATTCAATATATTTGTTTTGTGGCATGGTGACGATTGCAGCGTCGCTGGGAGCAGCCTCCCGGACGCAAAGAAGTTGTCAACTTTCAGATCACAGAGACCAACAAGTAGACCCAACGCGGTCCAGAATGGGTCCCCTTTTATTTTTATGGCCAGGTTCACTGGCCAGAGCAAGAAAGTGAAGGAGAAAGCATTCCCCCCTGTAAGACATGGTCACATTGCAATCCCTTCCCCTCTTTTTTTTTTTTTCCCCCATCCTTTTGGGGTTTTGGGAAAACATGCACATGCTCCTGGTGTGTTTTTAGCTTCCAGGGCCAAGATTTGAACTGCAATTGGCCTTGTTGGATCTGGGCTACCTTCACCACCAGGCTATTGGGCCAATTATAAAGTTTCTTACCTAGCATCCTAACTTTTAAGTATTATGGTTGGTTCCATATTTAAATTAAAACTTGAGAGAAAGGGCTGAACATTTTTTAGTGTTTTCTTTTTTTTAATAACTTTTGATTTTACCATTTGTTAGCTTAATGTACATCATGGGAAAAATTAGTCTTTATCTACTTAAGATACTTGAAAAAAATTGTAAGTAATAATTACTTAACATCCTTCTTTGGGTTTAGTTTTAAAGGAAACATAGAATTTCTTTTTAAGGAATTCTTAAATTAAGCAGACCTCAAGGACAATAGTACAAATGAGGCCCAGAGAGATTCTTTTCTTTAGAATTACTAAATTTTGATACCATCTAGATCCCTAGATTTCAAGCTTATTGGGGAGATCAAAGAACTGAGGCTAAAATGTTAAAAGAGCTTTTCTTCTGATACACTTGAGAGTTAGATGAAGATTTAAATGCTTATTACCTCTGTAGTCGATGTGTCATATTTTGCCTCCCGTTTTTTCTTTTTTGCTTTGTCTATAAATTTGAGTACTTGCCTACTTTCCTTAATAACAATACCATCTGGCTACTATGTTTCTCCTTACTGTGCTGGATGACAATAAAGTTTATGACCCTTGGCTTGAAATTCCTTAATAATCTCAACTCTTTTTTGCCCCAGCCAATTACTTAGGCCTTGATATCACTGAAAATATTCTGTCTGTGGTTTTGATTATTTTTTCTTAGGTAGATGATTTCTACATTTTTATCTGTATCCCTGGGTAGATTTTATTGGTCATTTCTGTTAAGCCAGATATTTATGTCAACAAAATCAAGTTCCTTATTTTGTTGTGTCCTACAACTTGTAAAGAAAGTAGTTGAGCTCTTTTTTCTGACTTTTAATAATACCGCATTTTCATAGCCTTCGAAGGCCATCTGAGATTAAATTTTTTTTGGAGATTTTTTTTTTGCCTTAGGTTACATGTCATGGAGAGGGAGAGGGAGAGAGAGGGAGACAGACAGACAGACAGACACTGTGGAAGGGAAAGTAAGAAATCACCATCCAGGGAGGATGGCCATACTGCAATTCTTTCTCCTCCACTCTCCTCTCAGGATCTTGGGCACACATGCACATGCACCTGGAGTGAGTTTGAAGCTGCTGGTTTGAGGACTCAAACTGCAGTCAGCCATGTGGGAGTCCCATGACCTAACCACTATGCCATATGCTGGTCCCACGTTTACATCTTTTTATTTGTAGTTAACTCATTTCCCCTTTGCCTACTACCACCATTCTCTCATTCACAGCAGAGAATCTGCTAGCAAGACAGAAATTAACAATTGCCTTTAAAGAATTGTGGAAGTGACATCCTGTCACCTTTGCCATACTTTGTTGGTTAGCAACATGCCACAGGTCGCACCCACACATGGGTGGGGGTGGAGGTCAGAGAACGCCCAGAGATTGCGGCCTTGGCAGCTGTCTCAGAGCCTACCTGCGCCTTAGTGCTAGCCCGTTCTCCTTATTTCTACTCCACTGCCCTACTTGGGCAAGTATTAGTTCTTGTGTAGAGTATTGGAATGACCTCTTAGTTTGGTCATATACAGAGGTCTGCAAAAATTTATAGAAAATGTGTATTATGAAAAAGCTATGCATAGATTTCAAAAGTTCTTTGCACCAGAATTAACATGTACTTTAGTTCCATTTTCCACAGACTTTTTGAAGTACCCGCACACTTCTATTCTCTGTTGTTTCTGGCTGATTTGACTGTATTTATGTTTAGTATTCTTAAAATACAGCTCTTAAACTTTATCCCAAAACTGTCAGTGATCCCACATTGCCTAATAATTAAGTTCAAACGTTCCCTCAGTTTTTCATTCACGACTTTCCTCAAAATGACCTAATATTTTCTTTCTAATGGATTTAACACCCACTAGTCCTCTACTTGAAACTTAAAGTCTAATGAAAAAATACTACATTTTGCTGATACTTATATAATCGATTAGTTTTTTTTTCTACTTCTGTTATAAGTTTATCTATATCAATTTTTCTTTTAAAAAAATTGCCAGAGAGCATATACGTGCACTCACTTAAGAGAGAGAAAGCACACCACACTCCCTTCTCCATTTCTCTCTCCTTTCAGGATTTTGGGCATACATTCACACCTCAGCTCTGTGGGATCCAGCCACCTTAACCACCATACCAAAGGCTGGCCTCATGATTTTTTCTTTGTTGAATTTTTCTTGCTGTTTCAATTTGCTTCTCACCCTCACTGCACACAAAAAGTAATTTTATCCTTAAAAATGTATTTCAAGGGACCAGCAATTAGCATAATGGCTATGTCACTGGACTCCCATGTAGTCGACCACGGTTCAAGTCCTGGACCCAGTGACTTAAACTGATGCTAGGCGCATGTGCGTGCATGCCCAAGATCCCGAGAGGAGAATGGAGGAGAAAGGATTGCGGCGTGGCCATCCCCCCTGGAAGGTGATTTCTCGCTTTCTGTCTCTCTGATGAGCGCACGGGCCCTATAGCAAAAACCTCTCCAAAAAAAAAAAAAAAATGTATTTCAAATGCCATCCTTTTAGCAAAGCCTCCCTTGATCCCATAAACAGATGGGAGTTTTCCTTTTTTATTTTTTTAACTGTCACTTTAAAAAGCACTCATCAGGGCCAGCCAGGTGTTTTGGTGATTCAGACAGCTGGATCCCATATGTCTGACTGTGTGGTTTGAGTCCTGGACATGGTGGCTAGAAAACTGTGCCAGGTTAGATGCGTGCGTGTGCCTGTGCCCAAAATCCCAAGAGGAGAAGGGATTGTGGCATGGCCAAGCCCCCCAGGGGCAGAGTGATTTCTCACTTTCCCTTTCCCTCTCTTTCTCTGTCTCTTTCCAGCGAGCACATGCTCCCATAGCAAAAAAATAAAGGTAAATAGATGGATAGATAATTAACATATCTTAGAAAGGCAGTAAGCTTACAAAATAGAAGAAACACTTGATCTGGGTTATCCTTTCTCAGTAACTTTCATGTTAAACCTATTGAAGATTTTTTAAATTTTTTTTTTTTTTTTTTTGGAGAGATTTTCACTGTAGGGCGCGTGCGCTCGCCAGACAGAGAGAGACATAGAGACAGAAAGCGAGAAATCACCCCCCAGGGGGGATGGTCACGCCGCAATCCCTTCTCCTCCATTCTCCTCTCGGGATCTTGGGCACGCACGCACACGTGCCCGGCGTGAGATTTAAGCCACCGGGTCCGGGACACGAACCGCGGTCGACTACGTGGGAGTCCAGCGACATAGCCATTACGCTAACTGCTGGTTCCCAACCTATTGAAGATTTTGATATCAGTAGAAGAGTTGAAGTACTTATTTTTCAGATGTATAGAACTGTCAGCAGTTTTTGAATTTTGCCTTGAATGAATTACTTCTGTTCTCTAGGTGGGCATTATGCTTAGGTACTGTTAAGCTTCTTACCAATACCAATTAATACTGTTAACTAGGGAAGCAGGTTGAAGTGCATCACTAGTAAATTTTTAAGCCTCTTGTAATGGCTTATAAAAGAAAAAAAAAGACGTGTTTACTCTTTCTGATAAGTAATAAAATTGCCATTTTGATTTTTTTTTTTTTTTGAAAGGTTTTTGCTTTTGGGCATGTGCACTTGCTGGAAAGACAGAGACAGACAGAAAGTGAGAAATCACCCCCCAGGGGCGATGGCCACGCCAGTCCCTTCTCCTCC